AAAAAAAAAAAGAAACCCTAACTAAGACAGCAACCAAGTGAGCAATTTCCAAAAGCAGTTAGACACATCATTTTAAATATTGTGCTTAGCCATTCAACTAGAAACAAAACCAAAATGTGGATGACTTACCGAATTAGCAATGGCATGGATGACTCTTGAAAATCCCACAGCATCATTCAGTTCCTCCTAAGTAAAAGAATCTAAATTAAAAACAAATAGAGCCAGCAAGAGGGCTCAGTGGGTAAAGGCACTTGCCACACAGGCCTCAAAACCTGAGTGTGCCCCTCAGAACTCTGTAAAGGCTGAGGAAAAGAACCATCTCCTCAAAGCTTTCTATTGACTTTCACATGCATGTCCTTCGACATGAGCCCCTCTCCCTCTCTGTCTCTCTCCCCCTCCCTCCCTCTCTCTACCTCCCTCCCTCCCTCTGTCTGTCTGTCTGTCTGTCTCTCTCTCTCTCTCTCTCTCTCTCTCTCTCTCTCTCTCTCTCTCTCACACACACACACACACACACACACAGAGTAACAAATGAGAAATAAAGTTTTTAAAAGGCACACTGCATTCCTTACTTGAATGAACTAAAGCCTGAAGCTCCAACAAAATGTAATTTTACATCAAGTGAGACAGCTTTAGTGTCACAGGATTTGTAACAATAATCCCTAATAGCATGTAAAAATGAGGAACCTAGAGAGATACCACCACAGTTAGGAGTGCCACTCCTCTTTCAGGGGACCCAGGTTCCTTTCTTGCACCCACAACCACCTATAACTCCTGTTCTAGGGGATATCACAGGCTCTTCTAATTTTCTGGGGGGGGGGGGGCATTTGCACACACATACACACAATTTAAAAAATAAATTTTTTGATCTGAAAATGGCTCAGATGTTTGTGGTGGTATTGTGTTCCCCAAAATATTGTGCACCCTAATAAACTTATCTGGAGTCAGAGGACAGAACAGCCACCAGATACAGAGGAAAGAAAATGGTGGCACTCACACCTTTAATCCTAGCCTTCTGGAGGCATGGATCTCTGTGAGTTCAAGGCCACATTGGAAATAGCCAGGCATGGTGATTCATGCCTTTAATCCCAAGAAGTGAACCTTTAATCCCAGGAAGTGGGGGCAGAAAGCAGAAAGGTATTTAAGGCATGAAGACCAGAAACTAGAAACTTTTAGCTGGTTAAGCTTTTAGGCTTTCGAGAAGCAGTTCAGCTGAGATCCATTTGGATAAGGACACAGAGGCTTCCAGTCTGAGGAAACAGGATCAGCTAAGGAATTGGCAAGGTGAGGTGGCTGTGGCCTGTTCTTCTTCTCTGATCTTCCAGCGTTCACCCCAATACCTGGCTCTGGGTTTGTTTTTATTAATAAGAACTTTTAAGATTCCTGCTACAGATATTAAGAGCACTATTTACTTTTCCAGAGGACCCAAGTTCAGTTCCCAGCAATCACATTAGGTAGCTCACAAATGCATTTAACTCCAGCTTCAGGGACTCCCATGCCCTCATCTGGCCTCTGCACACTTGTGTAGATGTGGCATTCACTTTCAAAGACACACACAAAACACACACATCCACATAGATACAAATAATAAAAGTAACTCTTCACTGGGTGGTGGTGGCAAACATCTTTAATCCCAGCACTCAGGAGGCAGAGGCAGGAGGATCTCTAAGTTTGAGGCCAGCCTGATCTACAGAACAAGTTCCAGGACAGCCAGGGCTACACAGAGAAAGCCTGTCTCAAAAGAAAAAACAAGTACATCTTTTAAAATAATAAAATTAATTTAAGAAAATATAGATAAATATGATAATCTACACACTTTTCTGTTTTAGAGAAAAATAAGCTATGTTAAATTACTCATTAATTACTTAATTAATAGCACTCAGAGTTAACATCACTTCAAATATTTGGGGAGGGAGTTATTCATTTCTTTTCTGAATCAGGATCTCATGTAATTTATGCTGGCCTTGAACTCCTGACCTTCCACCCTCCTCCTTCCAAGGGCTGGGATTGGAGGCATGCACCACCATACCTAGCTATAGGGCGGGTTAGAATTTCCGAGTCAATCAAGGTGACTTGGGAAAAAATAACAACTTAAGGCAGACAAGGCAGTGCATAGCTGTAATCCCAGCAATTGGAAGACTGAGACAAGAGAATCAGGAACTGCAGGCTAAGACCCTACTGGACTTCAAAAGCAAACCAAAATTACCTTTAACAAGCGGCCATCTGCTGGCCAAACTGATCCAGCAACTGTGATCCACAAATACACAGAAAGAAGTCAATCCTATCTGTATTTTCATTTCTTACTCAAAAGGAATAGAAAGTGCACTTACCTGCTCCTTTGCATACTTCTCCTGCTCCCTTCTCTTGCGTTCTTCCTCATCCACTTTGCTGATAACTATGTGTCTCTCCTTCTAAAAGACAAAGCAAATGTGCAGTAGTAGTCTGGAAACATCTTGACCTCTCCTTAGCCTCCAAAGGGCTGTGATTATAACTCTGAATGACAACTTTGATGTATTGGTCTACGGCCAGTCTCAGCTCAGCTATATAAGACCATCTCAATAAGCCAAAAAGAAAACAACCAAAAAGTTGTAAGCCAAAGCATAAGCAGGCACAACAGAAACTATTCTGGGATGATGCCAAAGCTGAGCGGGTACACAGATGCCCTCTACATCTGCATGTCCATGATACATCCAGTGTTTTAAGAATTCAAACTAACAAACATCAGTTGAAATCAGTCACAGAATGTGCAAATAAGACTTTGTATAGGAACCATAGAGGTTATGTAACTTTTGACATAAGAGGCAGGAGTGTAGATGTAACTAACCGTCTTATTAAATAAGAAACACAGAAACAATGTAAAAGAGAAAGCCGAGAGGTCAGAGCTCAGAGCTAAAATCTCACCCTTCCGCCTGCGGTGTCCCAGCTTCCTGAAAGAGACTATATCCTGTCTGTTCATTTCTTTTATAGTATGTTGTTCTGCCTTCTCATTGGTTGTAAACCCAAACACGTGACTGCCTCGTCACTGTCTGAATGTACAGCCCCCTAGGTCTTAAAGGCATATGTCTCCAATGCTGGCTGTATCCCTGAACACACAGAGATCTATGGGATTAAAGGTGTGTGCCACCACCGCCACACTCTTGCTATGGCTCTAATAGCTCTGACCCCCGGGCAACTTTATTTATTAACATACAATCAAAATCACATTTCAGTACAATTAGAATACCACCACACAGGAGGAGTTTTAAATTAGTTATAAATAAAGCATCCACATATTTTATGAACATGAGAAAAAAACCTTGCATAAGTATAGTCTTATTTCTCATAAATCATATTTTATATTCATTAAGCACACACACTGCAAGGGCCAGAGACTCGGTTCATTAGGGAAAGGCACCTAATGACAACTCTGACAACCTGAGTTCTATCCCTGGGAAGAGAGAACTGACTCACAAGTTGTCTTCTGACCTCCACACACCTCAACTCCCAACACACAGCCACAGACAAGCAAGTGCATGTGTGCATGTGCGCGCGCGCGCGTGTGTGTGTGTGTGTGTGTGTGTGTGTGTGTGTGTGTGTGTGTGTGTGTATGTGTGTGTGTGTAAATTTTAAGAGAAAAAGAGGGCTGGAGAAATGGCTCCACAGTTAAGGACACTGACTGCTCTTCTAGAGGACCCAAGTTTGATTATCAGAACCACATGGCAGCTAACAACTGTCTATAACTCCAGTCCCGTGAGATCCAATTCCCTTTTCCGCACTGTAAATACATGGAACACAGACATACATGCAGACAAAACACCCATGCACATAAAATAAAAATCTCCAGGTAGCTGTGGTGCACACCGTTAATCCCAGCACTCGGATGGCAGAGCCAGGCGGATCTCTATGAGTTCGAGGCCAGCCTGGTCTACAGAGCAAGCTCCAGGACAGGCACCAAAACTACACAGAGAAACCCTGTCCCAGAAATAAATAAATAAATCTTTAATTTAAAAAAGAAAAAAAATATAACAGGTGGAAAAAAGTTCACTTCCACTTATCCACTGAATCATTTGGTTGGTTTTGTTGGTTTTTTGCTTGTTTTGTTTTGTTTGAAACAGGATCTCTCTACATAGTCCTGGCTGTCCCAGAAATCACTATGTAGACCAGGCTGGCCTGGAACTCACAGAATGCTATCTGCCTCTAAGTGCTGGAATTAAAGGATTGCACAACCAATCCTGACCTGAATCAACAATTAAAAGAAGAAAAAAAAAAAAGCACTAAATGGCGTTGGGGAGATGGTTCAGTAGTTAAGATCAGGGTTGGGGTTTTAAGCTCAGTGGTGGAATGCTTGCCTAGCAAGTAGTTAAGATCACTGACTGCTCTTGCAGAGGACCTGAGTTCAATTCCCTGCACCTACAGGTGGCTCACAAACACCTGTAACTCCAATTCTTCTTCTAGCTTCCATGGGCACATGGTACACATCCCACATGCAGGCAAAACACTTATACACATAAAATAAATCTTCCAAATTTTAATTTTTTTTATCTTAACAGTGTAAGCTACATTAGCTTAAGATCATCATGCTTAGTCCCAAAATACAAACGAGGAAGAGCAGGTTCAGAGAGGACAGTCACAGGTCATGGGAGCCAGCCTATCAACACCGCAGTGCGCCACTGTTAGCAAACTGCCAGCACTAAATAACTTTGGTTACCTTTTCAGTCTCTAGTGTCTCAACATGAATGCCTTTGGGATACCTAAACAAACAAACAAACAAACCATCAGTGCAGACTCAAAAAGAAACGACAGTTTTACTGAAATGGGCAATCATCACTGCACTTCACAGGAAGACTTTACAATGAGCCTACTTACAATATTTCAGCCGCTGTTCTCTGCCTCTTCCCTTAAATGCACTGGAATGTTATCCATTTCATGTGAACTCTTTAGGATTTTTAGCACTTTCTAAAATGCTTGGTATTTCATAATATAGTGAACTAATTGCCACAGAGGACACTTGCTTCCTAATGCCTACTCTGTAACTGAATGGTGACGGTGTCTGTAGACATCATGGGGTACACAAAGGGAAGGGGGCTGCTGGACTGCAGTTTGCCTTGGTGTTTGCAGCAGCCAAAGAGGACAGGGATGTGGAAAGCACAGAGAGTTAGATGTATGGAAAGGACAAGAAAGGAGGTTGGACAAGCCAGCCAACAGCTCTCCTGTCCTGCTTCAAGATTATTCCCATGTACACAACACTGTAGATTATTTTTTAGTTTGGAGGGGCAAAGACACATAGAATAGAGGGAGTTATATGTGCCTTAAGATAGATACAAAGTGGTAACAGAAAAAGGGCAATCAATTTAAGAACTGACTAGGGACATTATTGGGTCAAATCACCCATAACTGAAAATTTCAAGAACAATGGGACCAAAGATTATACTTTATTAAATCCCTGTCCTTGAGAGCTCCCTCACATCTAATTTAAATACTTACTTCCAACTCAAAGTCTGATAAATAAGTTTTCTTTGGAACCTATAAAACAAAAAAAAGGAATTAACTTGGGCTATTAAGAGTGAACCCTAACTGATCAGTTGATGCTTGAGAAAGATTGAATTTAGTGTCCTCATTAGAAAATGGTATGGACAACATATATAGGCACATTTCTGAGATGGAAAGACTCATCCTTTGCCTTTTTCAAATTTTTAAAGTTACTATATTGCTTTTAGAGACTAGGTAGAAATTATGGTCAAATATATTGCTTCCTACAACTGCATTCCAACACCTTTGTGAAGTGTGTCATAAAGTAAAAGGGGGAAAGATGCTGAGATACTCTCACATGCTGATTTGGTTTTTCTCTGTAGAGAGAAATTAAAAGAACAGGAGTGGCCTGACAGTGAATCCTTCTCTTCTGAGGTCCTCCTCATGAGTTTAGCATTCCTCCAGGCCAATGATGCTGCTCCTGGGCACAACCTAAAGGCTAAGTGCTGTCCAGGGATGGGACAAAGTATTCATTCTGAGTCTCAGCAGACAAACACTCCCACTGTGTTAGCGCTACAAATCTGAGGAGCACACCTATGACAGAAAGACTATTGATAAGGATGTTGTAAAAAGACCACACATGCTGGGCATGGTGGCACATGCCTTTAATCCCAGCACTCAGGAGGCAGAGGCAGGGGATCTCTGAGTTCCAGGCCAGCCTGGTCTACAGAGTAAGTTCCAGGACAGCCAGGGCTGTTATACAGAGAAAGCCTGTCCCAAAAAAACAAAAAGAAAAAGAATTTAAAGAAAGGAAGGAAGGGAGGGAGGGAGGAAGGGAGGGAGGGAGGGAGGGAGGGAGGGAGGAAGGGAGGGAGGGAGGGAGGGAGGGAGGGAGGGAGAGAACACACATCAAAAAGCAGAACTCCTCTCCTAAAAAAGAATGCATGCAACAAACAGCAACTGACCCAGTACATGGTTCTAGATCCAAGCTCTTCTCTTCATTTTGTAGGAAGTCCTCTATCTTCTCTCTGATGAGGAAGAATCAGACAATGACCATCAGTACCTTGAAGGAATGAAGTGATCAGAACAGTCATTGTACTCAAAACCCATACTCAAAGTCACCAGCAATAGTTACACTCAAAAGCAATGTAAATAGTGGGCTGGGGAGACGCCAGGGGCACAGCACTTGTCTACGTGAACAAAGCCTGAATTCTATCTCTGGAACATGCCCCCCACACACACAAAAGCAGTCTAGTTTTTCCCCTTTTTTCTTGTTTGAGATAGTCTCATGTATCCCAAGCTGACCTCAAACTTGCTATGTACTGAAGACAGCTTGACCTTCTGCTTTTCCTGGTCCTCCCTCCCAGGATTACAGATGTGCACCACTACACTCAATTCACGCAGTGCTGGAAACCAAACCCTAGGCTCTGTGCATTACAGACAAGCATTCTACTAACTAAATTATATTCCCAATCCCAAGAACATATTTCTTTTTTTTTTTTTTTTTTTTGGTTTTTCGAGACAGGGTTTCTCTGTGTAGCTTTGCGCCTTTCCTGGAGCTCACTTGGTAGCCCAGGCTGGCCTTGAACTCACAGAGATCCGCCTGGCTCTGCCTCCCGAGTGCTGGGATTAAAGGCGTGTGCCACCAACGCCCGGAACATATTTCTTATGCTTATAGGTCTTCTTTCCATACATTCTGAGCAAATCAAAAAGGTAATCAAAACCAAAGAAAATAGGTGTGTTTTTACATATGCTTTCGATGAAATTCTTAAAATTATAACAATTTCTCAAACAATTAATCAATGTTAAAGCTACAGAAACAAGTTAAGAGTGCTAGCTATAAACCATGAGGGCAAGTAAGATCCTAACACCAACAAGTCAGGCAGGGCTTAACATATAGCCATGACCGCAGTGGTGAGGAGGAGCATTGCAGAGACAGGAGGATCACTGGACCATGCTGATGGCCAGCCTAGCTCCAGGTTCAGGAAGAAACTCACCTCAAAGTAATAAAGCAAAGAGTGATGCAGGATACCCAACCCCCTTTTCTGACCTTCTCATGCAGACACTCACACATATGTGTATATATACCACTTACACATGCACAAAACTTCTATTTTAAGAAAGAATTCATCAATACTAGTAATATATTTTTGACTTTTCTAATAAAGCTATTACATTGGTAACTAACCTATACAAGACTAGATACTCCTCCCAGGGCATATCTGTCTGTCAAAAACTTCACTGTAAGAAACAAAAAGTGTATACGGGACAATGTTCTGAGAAAGCTTGGTCCAGACATCTGCACACTTACTGAGGCCCCACAGTAGCATGGAACAGGTCCAAACATGATGCAACTTGCTGTTATTGCCCATATTTAGATATGCCACAATTAAAGCCTGCAACTCACATTTATACTTGTGTGAACAGCTGTGCATTTGAAGCACAGTTGGTGTAGAAGACAGAAGTCCTGCCACAATCAAGAGATGGCCTCTCATATCAACTTGTGCACACCTGTGCATGTGAAACACAAGTAGGTGTGAGAGACAGACATCCTCCAATAAGACACAACTAAAGCCTGCCTCTCACATCACACCTACATAGGTACCCTGCAGGTGCTGCCCAGTGTGAGACAGCCTGAAGCCCGTGCCGTACAATGTCTGTTTAGGAACTTACATTACTTGGTCAATAAATTTCCTCTGATCCTCAGGAATTGTCACAGGACATTTTGTCGGAGCTCCTGCCCCATTGGCCTGAGCACGTTTTTCATCCAATTGCTCTCTCAGCTGTCTTTCTTCTTCTTGATTCAGATATGGAATTCCTACACATATTGTTTAAAGAATAAATTAGAAGAAATCATAATTTCAAACAGAAAACTCTTCTTCTTTCTTTTGATTTTTTTTTTTTTTTCCTTATTTTCGGTTTTTCGAGACAGGGTTTCTCTGTGTAGCTTTGCGCCTCTCCTGGATCTCGCTCTGTAGACCAGGCTGGTCTCGAACTCACAGAGATCCGCCTGCCTCTGCCTCCCGAGTGCTGGGATTAACGGTGTGCACCACCACCACCCCAGAAAACTCTTCTTATAAATTTATTTTTATTTATATGTATGTGTATGTATCTTGTGCAGGTGCCTGCAGAGATCAGAAAAGGACCTTGGATCCCCTAGAACTGAAGTTACAGGCAACTGTGAGGTGCCAGATGTGGGTGGTAGGAACCGAACTCCAGCCCTCTAAAAGAAAAGCAACCACTCTTAACTTCCGAGCCATGTGTCCAGCCCTCACACAAACTATTTTTAATTGTTTGTTTTTGTTTTTTGAGTCAAGGTCCCACCATGTAGCCCTGGCTCTCCTGGAACTCACTATGTTAACTGACAACAAAATCAATCCAAGTTAGCATTTCCTCAAGAAATACACAAAACTGGGCATTTCTGATCATCCTGTTGGATGCTGAAGTCACCCTGGGCAAGAGAAGGGGTAGGCATACAACAATGCCAAGCCAGAGCTCATGCTCCTGGAGAATGCCTGCAAGTCACAGAGCAGAAGAGTTATTCCGGGCCTTCTGTTTTGGAGACCAGGTCTCTTGCTATGTAGCAAGGCTGGCACTGAACTTGCAATACTCCTGCCTCGGCTTCCAACTACTGGGATTGCAGGCAGCCACCCCACATCTGACTCCCAAGTATTACTTTTCCTTTTCCTTTTGCAGTACTAAGGACGAGACGGGGTCTCACCTATGCTAGCGAGTGCTCTTCCACGGACTTAACCTCCTGACCTGCCACCTTTACTCTCAAACATTTAAGGGAGGCCATTCTACCATGTGCTACTATCCAATATTCCAGCACTACTGTTCTGTAAATAGTTAATAGTCACCTCCCTGATAAAGAGGCCTCATGTTCTTCACTGAGGATGGGACATGAGGAAACCACTGTCCCTTCTCAGCATGCTGTCCAGTCCCACATCCTTACAGGTAAGCCCTTAGAATCGTGCCAACTATATAGACCACACCTCTCCTCATGAGTTATCTCCAATTATAAGATATACGGTAATGAATAAGGGAATATTGTGACCGAAAGACTAGAATACGGTGCTAAGTATTATATGCACCTGTCACACTGGCAGAAACTAGAACTGTTCCTACATTTGGACATAGACGTAACTAAATCCTAAAGGGGTATGATGAACTCTTCTCTATTAAGTCAGAGTTTAAGAGGCCTCATTATAATTTAAGGAAATACTACTCTCCTGCTCACCTCAAAATTAACCAGGTTTACAAAAAGAGCATGGAGCTGAAGCAGTTAAAAGCATTTGCTGCTCTTCCAGAGGACCTGAGTTCAGATCCCAGCACCCACTCAAACAGCTCACAAACACCTTTACCTCTAGCCGCAGAGTATACAAAATCCTCTTCTGAGCTCTGCGGTACAGGCATAATACATAAATGTAAATTTTTCTTTAATAAAAAATTAAATAAAGAGGTGCAGGATATAGCTCAGTCAGTTAAACACCTGCTATGAAGCCATGAGGAGCAGAGTCTGGAGCCCCAGCACCCACGGACAAGCTAGATAAGGCAGCACACATCTGTAACCCCAGTGCTGCACATGAAACCTAGCACTGTCTACATGATGGACTCTAAATTGATAAAATAAAAAGGCTTTTAAGGCCGGGCGGTGGTGGCGCACGCCTTTAATCCCAGCACTCGGGAGGCAGAGGCAGGCGGATCTCTGTGAGTTCGAGGCCAGCCTGGGCTACCAAATGAGTTCAGGAAAGGCGCAAAGCTACACAGAGAAACCCTGTCTCGAAAAACCAAAAAAAAAAAAAAAAAAAAAAAAGGCTTTTAAAACATGATGATTCTTAAGCAAAATGAGATATGAGATTTACTTCTGAAGGATTTCAAAGGTTTATCAACTACAAAGGCAGTCTTACCACTGCAAAACACTTTATTAAAGTCAAATCCTTGGCTCGCTAGGAAGTCAATGCTGGAACTCTGAAACAAACAACACAATGTCAGTGACATTCAAGGCCAGTGTCAAAACAGCAGAGGGGTGATGCAGACAAGTAACCATGACAACCCAACAAGAAAGAAGCAGGCCAAAGGTCAAAAGTCTTTAGCCATAGCTGCCATGACTATTCATTCACTTAAAACACCATGGCTCTTCCCCTTAGTAGCTTTATAAAACATTCTCTGTTTTATAATATTAAAATCCACTGAGTGGACAGATAACTCCACATTGAAGAAGGATCCTGCCCTCTGCTACGATACTGACTGTGAGGCTGTAAACAGAAATAAAGTACATTCACACAACCTCGAGTATAAACTGAAGGAATGTAAGGCATTATCTACACTGAGTCGGATACAGAAGGCCCACATCTTATCATTAGTAGTATAGTGTGTGTGTGTGTGTGTGTGTGTGTGTGTGTGTGTGTGTGTGTGTGTAAGAGGGGTGGTGGTGGAATGGCAGGCACATGTGGAAGTCAGAGGACAACCTGTAGAATTCAAAGCAAGCACTTTTACCCCCTTGGCCATCTTACCAGTCTTGAAGGCTCAAAATCTTAATTGGGTGTTTTCTTTTGTCTCCTATTGGTGTGTGTTGTTTTTCTGAGGCACAGGCTAGCTAGAACTCACCATGTGGCTGAAAATGATGGCCCTGGACTTCCTAATCCTGAAGCTTCCGGAGAGCTGAGGCTGCAGCTATGCACGGCCACTCCCAGTCTACGGGTCTTGGGATGGGCTCCAAAGCTTCATTCGTGCTGGGCCAGCACTCCACCAAATGAGCTAGCTGCACTCACAGCCCTAAATATTCTTTCCTTGTGGGCTCTTGTTTTTGTTTCTAAGTGGGGATTGAACCTACAGCTTCATACATGCTCTGCAAGTGCTCTACCATGGAGCTGTATCCTCAGCACTCTGCTTTTTGTTTTTTCAGACAGGGTCTCACTGAGTTGTCAAAGACAGCTTTGTCCTCACTGTGTAGCCCACTGATAGTTGGAGCTCTCTTGCTCCCTGCCTCAGTCTCCTAAGTAGCTGGGATTACAGGCCTGTGCCTCCAGACCTGGCGAGTTGGATGGTTTTTTCTTTCTTTTTTTTCCTTTTTTTTTTTTTTTCTTTTGGTTTTTCAAGACAGAGTTTCTCTATATAACTGCTCTGGCTGTCCTGGAATTCACTTTATAGACCAGGCTGGCCTCAAACTCACAGAAATCCACCTGACTCTGCCTCCTGAGTTCTGGGATTAAATGCAGGTGCCACCACCACCTAGTCAATTGTTTGATTTTAATGTTCAAGATCCAGAGAGCATAATCCCTGAGAAAACCTAACTAAACAAATATATCCTGTACCTAGAAGATGAAAGATGTGAATAGATTCATTAAAGCTGAGTAAATAATTTTAGAGATTTTATATGAATTTGGCCAAATCATGAAGCCCTTCCTCAAAGTACCTAAAGAGGAGAATAATACTGTAGCTACTGCAGTTTCCCAGTTCTCCTAAAGTCTCACATAGCCATGCCAACACTCCTCTCTCACAGACACACTAAAAAGGGCCTGGAGAGGCGTTCTGTCTACTAAGTGCCAAACCAGGGCTGCTTGAACTTTTTCCACTAGAAACCCCTTTTCACCCAAGAAATTTCACACAACCCCAGACACAGACGTATAAAATAGGTAGACAAATCAACCATTTGCTGATAAATTAATCACAGTGACATTTATTCTAGGAAAATTCTTGGGTATATATACAATTATTTTACCATTTATTAAAGACAAAGGCAGATCTGTGACACACATCGAGCAGGAGAAACAGAAGTTCAAGGTAATCCTTGGCTACTTAGTAAGTTTGAAACCAGCCTGACCCTCATGGGACCAAGTCTCAGACAACAAAGAGAAGGTGCGGAAACAGGAAAAGAAGACAAAAGCATATAAATGCCATTTTGCAAGCCCATTTGCTGCACTCCACCTCGAGCCCCGGGTTAGGCAGACTCCCCAGCCCATCCCTCCACCTTACCTAGTAGCTCAGTGCTAAACACATTTAATGTTCAAGGACACGGTAAGCTACTCTGCCTGTAGGTCCCAGATGACTTAAGGATAAGAATTCTCTGAGAACTATGACATAATTTTAATCTGTTCAGACTCTAACATCTAACTCCTTTGTAAAATGTAGCTCTGCAGATGTGGGCGTGTGTCTATGTGGATGTATGTGTGTGTATATGTGTATGTAGTATGGGGGGGGTGGTACATGTGCTTATGCGTACCTGTATCTTCACATCACTCTCTACTTTGCTGTGTGTATATATGCACTTGACTGTATGTGATATATACACATCTATATATACATGTGTGCAAAGGTGCACTCAACTCACCCATACTCAGCCATATGTGGAGGCCTGAGGTCAACACTGAGTATTTTCCTCAATCAGTCTCCACCTTAATTTTTGAGACATAGTCTCTCATTGAACCTGGTGCTTGCCTTTACAGCCAGACTAGCCAGCCAGCAGGCACCTCCCCTCAGAATCCACCTGTCTCAACATAGAGCCTGGGACTACAGATTCTGGCTGGTATACCCTGATTCTCCACGGCTGTAGGAGAGCTCCTGCAGTTGTACTTTTAAATAAAACAAGCAAACAACAACAGCAAAACAACTTTAGGGCCAGGGAGGTAGCTCGGTTTATAAAATGTTTACCTATCATACATGAGACCCTAGAATTACAGGTATGTGCCACTTGCCCAGTTTATGCAAGTGCTGGGAATCAAATTCAAAGACCTGTGCATAGCAGGCAAGCACTCTACCTACTAAGCTACACTGCCAGCCCTTATCTTGCTACTTAGAAAGGAAGTACCCAGTAGTCGTCCTCTGGATGTCCACAGCTGCATTACTACTTTTATGGTAAAAAAGGAAAAGACAAAGATGAACTCATGTTACTAAGGAGAGAGACCCTAAGCTGCAGGATTACAGGGAAGAGAGGCAGGCCCACGTTTACTCTCCTTATCCGTGATGACAAATAACAAGCAGGCAGAAGGAAACTTTACTTATCTAGTGTCTGCCAAGCCAGCTACCAAAAGTCTCAAGTCTCCTTGCATCTCTACTTGGTGCCCTTCTCAAAAAGAAAACGGAGTCTCTTCTACCTTCTGTTTCCAAATTGGAGAGTTAAGATAAAGGACCCAGGTTTAAGAAGTTTGACTCTTTCAGAAAATAAAGCTCCACCCTTGAGAAAGGAACAAAGACAACGAGGTGAGGAGAAGTCTGTGGGTCCTGCTATAGGATAAATGCAGAGGAAGACCGCAGAAGTCCCAAAGAGAGTCCCACTGCAATGCCATGACCCCCAACCCAGCTTTATTATAATAAAGTTCACGATCTAATTTCCATCTGCTTATCTTTATAGCCTATTCCTTATAATATTCTGAAATGAAGAGGAGATAACAATGTCATTAATTTAAAAATCTAAGAATAAAGGTCAGAAAGGTGAGATAACTTACCCAAAGCTTGGTTTGGTTTGGTTTTTCGGGGGTGGGGAGGAGGGTTGCTTTTTGTTTTTGAAACAGAGTCTCATATAGTCCAGACTGCCCTCAAACTCACTATGTAGTCAAGGATGACTTCTAACTTCTACCTCCACCTCCCTCCCAAGGCCGAATCACAGGCATGCACCACTATGTGGTACTGGAGCTGGAACCCAGGGCATCATTCATGCTGGGCAAGCACTCTACTAACTGGCCTACAGCTCCAGCCCCTAGAGCTAAATCTAAAGAAATGCTATACTTCCACTCCATCCCAATAGCACTTCATAAACGGAAAAATGCAGTTCCACTACTGACCTGGCAAACAAACTTGACATCTGGTGAGGACCTACTGAAAGGCTTGGGGAAAACATAGAAGTTAAATGACTTCGTTATGTGCCTGGAAAAACAAGAGAAAGGACACTTAGGGGTGATACCAGCAGACAGCTTAGGAATTCCCAACCATTAAGACAACCTACTTGGAATCTATGTGGTCATACTTAAAAGTGCAAAGGCCAAACTGAAACAGTAAGAAGTCCATAGAATGCTGGAAAAGGAAAATAAAACATCAGTCACAAGAGAGCCACATATCTGACATGAACAAGCATTCTCAATCTGGTGGTTTTCTGAATCACTCAATAAAACTTCAGTAAAACAGACCAGTGGGGACAGACTGCAGGCTATACATGAAAAGTCTTACTCATTCATACACAACTGTGTTCCCAGCTAAGAAGCCGTCTGTCATCCCCAGAGCATTAGGCCTGTTTCCAAGTTACTACAATAATTACATCATATTTATTTCCTATATATCAAATTAATTTTAAGAAATAATAGCTCTTCCTCAGAATGTTTTCCAGCAAACAATACTTTTTGCTATTTTAAACACCACAAAAGTATTATTTTGTGGTTGGTGTTGAGAAGACACACCTCACTTAGAAAACATGGAAGTGTAAGTTTAATGATTCCACCTCTTCATAATTCAACAGCAGGATCTACGTGACAGAGAAAAAGACTTTTAAGCATGTCCACTTGCCTTTTTAAGCTTCTGATATCTCTCTTCTGGGGTGTCAAAACCACTTGTCAATGCAGTGACTGAGGGTCCATCGCTGATTCCTAGATCATAAAAAATAAGGATTGGGCTCATTAATAAATGCCAGTATAAAACTGTCACATGCTAGAGTGTCAGTCTCCACAGTGCCTATTCATATTCCTATTAGTTAAAATTAATTCGGTGTCTATATCACACTTTTTCAAAATTAACATTAATGTGTGCAGTGGATATAGTTCACTGGTAGAAGTGCTTGCTTGCCTTGCACATGAGAGGGCCCAGGTTGGATTCCTACATTCATAGAAAAATAATAATTAGGGGTTGGGGATGGATCAGTCAGCAAAACACTTGCTGTGTGAGCATGAGGACCTGAGTTGGAATACCCAGAACCGATGCAAACAGCTACATGCAGCACTGGGGAGAATGGATCCCTGGAGCACACTGGCCAGACAATCAGGTAAAATCAGTGAATTCTAGGTTCAATAAGAGATGCTGTCTCGCCGGGCGGTGGTGGCGCACGCCTTTAATCCCAGCACTCGGGAGGCAGAGCCAGGCGGATCGCTGTGAGTTCGAGGCCAGCCTGGGCTACCAAGTGA